GGGAGTGCTCTTATATTGTTGTTTTGCATGCTTGTGAGTTGTGACTGAATTGATATAATAATGATCCATCCATCTAGGCTTCTTTCACTAAATTCATTAGTCGTAGTTGGTTTTGATTGATTGTTAATTTTATCATCATCTTCTTCTCTAGTATCACTACCACAATATATCGTGGGGTTTGTGTGGGACCCTTCAAATTGCATTGATTTTTGAAATCTAACTTTATACACGAGTACATACATACTGTAATCAACATCCATGCCAACCACTAATGCAATTTTGAGGTACACAAATAATTTTGAAAGAACGAGTACTACATGTCTACAACATACAGTATTTTTTATTTTTTAGCTGGTAAGGAGAAGGGCCCTATCGGGTTAGTACCTCTCGCAGTATAACTACAACATACAGTATATTGGAAAATGGATTGCTCATTAGTTTGTATACAAAATTGGTATCTCACAATCAAAGGTTGCGGGATCAAACCCACTAGAGGTACTTTGGGGTGAGGATTTTCTTACCCTCACCCCACTTTCAAAGTGCCTAACCCACTAACCTGCGCTGGGAGGACATGTGAGAGCTTCCGGTCTTGGGATACACACATTTTTTTTTTTTAATATACTTACAACAATTTAACTAAAATATTTGTCAATATACTTGCCATTTTTTATAAATAGTAAAACCATATAAATATTACTTCCTCCATTTCATTTTGTTAGGCCCATATACTATTTTGGGCGTTTTAAAATGATATACACATATGTAATATATTCCTAACATTATTTAAGGGTGAATATTTTCTTAATATGTGAATAATTTATCTTATTAGGTGTTTAAGGTTAGATTATTAAGGGAGGTATCTTTGAGTCACTACTACAGAGAAGCGAATAAGGCTACGGATTGGCTTGCCAATTACGGAGTGCGAATGGAGTTGAAGTTGGTTATCTTTGAGGCGGTCCCTAAGGATTATCTTGCGGTACGTTTTTATTGGAGGATCTTAGTGGTATTTCGCGAGCTCGTATGATCCCTTGGATGCTGAACTAGTAGCTGGCCTAGGGTAGTAGTCTTGGGGATTTCGAGTTCGGTGGGCAGTTTGTTGGGTTTATGTTTATTTTCTAGCTTTGTAGTTTGTTTATTTCTGCCACATATTCTTATATCTAAGCTGGCTGCACCACTCATCAAATACCTCCTTTTATACACCAAACACATATATATACAATGTATTATTGGAGTACTGATATATATATTACTTCTTCTCCTTCCTTCAATCTTCTTCCTATTTTATCTCTTTCCTTATTTCTTAATTTTTACATAAATTTTTCTCTTTTTTTCCAAATTCTTTACTTAATTCTTAATTTTGGTTGAAATTTTCTTTCTCCACTGTGTTTGGCATTATGTTCTTCTTTTAAGATTTTCTCTCTTCTCCATTTTTTGTATTTTTGTTGATTTGTGATGGATTTAACTGGAATCTTGAAGAGATTGTTGATATAAGTTAGTTTATGTTATTGATTTGTAATTTGCTTTAATTGGTTATATTTTCTAAATTTGTGATTGATATTGCATATATAATTTTTGGGTAATTTGCCAATTTGTAATAGGTGATGAATACAGATTGATTGTAGTACTTTTCTTTTCTCTTTTCTTTCCTATAACAATTTTAATCAAAATTTTATTCTCCTCTAGTTTTCCTCTTTCGTTCTTCATTTTCTCTCTCCTCTATTTTCTTTATTTTTCTCTTTTTTTTCACTTTTTCGATTGATTTTGTTGCTTCCTATGGAATTAGTTGTTATTTCTTAAGAGATTGTCAATGCAGGTTAGTGTTTTGTTTTGTTGATTGTAATTAGATTTTTTTTTTTTTAGTTTATATTCAATTGTAATAGTATTTTGTTTAATTTCTATCAATTTGATCTATGTACGAATTTCGATTTTTTTGTGGTGATTTTGTAATGAATTTTGATCAATTTGATTAGGTTTGTGAACATGCAATTCATATGAATTGAATTTACGGCCTTTAATTATGAACATAAGAAAATTGAAGAAATAAAAATAAAATGATTATGAAACATACACATTATAAGTATTAAATTTATGAACATATGCACTAAAAACATGAATATATGCATTTTAGAAAATGAACATACGCATTCAAAATATGAACATATGCATTGGTTCATTTTTTGAATGCGTATGAACATAATTAAGCATTTTAGAAGGTGAACATATACATAAAAAAATATGAACAAATGGATTTCAGAAAATGAACATATGCATTTCAGAAAGTTTACATAAGTATTTCAGAAAGTTTACAAAAGGATTCAAAATATGAACATAAGCTTTTAAGAACGAAAGTGAAAATATGCATAAAACATTTGAACATATGCATTTCAAAAAGTGAACATAAGCATTCAAAATATGAACATAAGCATAAACAGACAAAACAGACAAAATGAGAACGTTTTATGAACATTAAGAATATTTATCTACGAACAACAAACAACAATATTATGAGCATTTCAAAACATTTTATGAACATAAAGTATCCGTTTGATTTCATTAATTTTTTTTAAATTCCAATAAAAATTTCGAACAATAGAGTATCGAACAATATTCAAACAAAATTAAGTGATATTCATATAAATTCAAACAAAATTAAGTGAAATTTACATAAAATTACCTTTTTTGGGAGAATCCGTTTGATTTTCATCACATCTCAAATATCCATGGTTGTCTTGGAGGAGAGAGAGTGATTTGTGTTTGATTGTAAGAGAGAAAAAAAAAATCAAAGAGAGGAGTAATAAATTTCAGAAATTTAAACTTGAGAGTGACAATTTTTTTTACAAAAATTATATTTTTTTTAAAAAATAGCTGTTGGAAGTGACGGTTTTGTATAAATGACAATTGGGTGGGCTGCATTTTAAAGATATGTTCAATTTTTTTGGTGGGCTTGTTTTGGTTTGGGGCTTTTTTTAATGGAGCGCGTTTGAAATTGGGCTTTTGGGCTGGTGTTGCAGCTAGAATAGTTGCACAAGGGTGGAGCTTAGACCAATTGAGATTATTAGAAAGAAGAAAAAAATTCTCTCCTTTCCTCTTCTCTCATCCCCTCTTCTAGGATTTTCAATTTTTTTGGCCATTTGGGCTGGAAATTAGACTTTCCGACCTTTTCCCTTAATTTTCTTTAGTTTTGCTTTTTAGGTTTCAATAAATCTACACGAGTAGTGTAGATGTTCGTCCGTCTCCCTGTGGTGGAGTGTCTCCCTATGGTGGAATGTCTCCTTATGGTAGAGTCATTAGTTTTTGTTGGTTTAGTTGTTTGTTTTTTGTTTAGGCTTCTTTCGTGTGTTAGGGTTTATAAAAAAGGGTAATTATCTTTTGACCTATTATCAGTTCGTTGGTAAAGATTTGTTTGGGATCGCAACAGTTGTCGAATTTTCAGATACGTTCAAGTGAATCAAATGAAAATCATCCTTACGGCTACAATAAATCGTTAGACCGTCTCTCCGAAAAGGTTGTATATTCTAGCGATGTGTGCGAGAGATGTACCACAAAGCAAGATTTATTCAATGATCGTAATTTTGATGAAGAAAACCTTTATTTGATTCAATTTTATGTATTTGTTAATTTAGATTTCATTTGTAGATGTCATATGACTTTTTATTAATGAATGGTTGTTTCCAAAAAATAAAAATAAAAAAATATTAGGTGTTAAAGAGTCAAATAATTCTGATTGGTTAATATGTGCTATTGGATTGCTGACATGGCAAATTCTTCCAAATCAAGATTTATTATAGGTGATTCGATTACAACCAATTCCTATTAATAAACAGGAAATTAAAAGACAACATGAATTACAAAGTTGCAATCAAATTCCAAAGTATTAGGATTCATCCTTTTCTTATTTTAAGTGATTGATTCCAATGGGGACTAACAAAGTGAAACGGAGTGAGTAAGAATATATGGTCAAATTTAATACTATATGAAGTACATAAGGGGGGAGACATAAGTGTTAATAATGAATATTCCCAGATGGGAGATTGGTAATTAATGAAATTTAATTTTTAGGCTAGTAGTTAATAATAAAGAGAATTAGCTAGAGATTTTATGTGGCATAAAAAACTAATTTGTACATGGCATGAAAAGCTAATTTGACAATTAAGTTGTCATTGAAGATGCTCTAAATTATTTTGTATTTATTTAAAAGCCTACCATTTCAAAGTCATTACAAGGTGTTTAGACGTTTGGTCAGAATTTCTGTACACGAATATCAAACTCTAGTAGATAATTTTGGTGGTTCAATTCATAATTCTATATTGGATAAGTTTTCCAAGTCTTGAGATTATTAATACATTGGATAATCTATTGATGGGATTTATCTTGTGATTATTGACTTTGGATACAATGTGGCAGAATTTAAATGGCCTCTTGGCTGCATATAGTGCAAGGTATGCTAGCACCTTCGAAATCATTGTAAGCACAATTCCCTTGTTGGTCCGATAAGGGGTGAATTACATCACAAGAGTAATTAAAAAAAAACTTTGAGATTTAACAACAATGGAGTAATAAAATAGCAAAAATATTATTAAAACACGCGGAATACAAGTTGAGAGTAGGGGCTACGTGAGGGAAACAATCGTATAAGTTATTTTCTTAATAATTTTATTGAATATTACGGAGTAAAGTAACTAACAGTTAACCATATAGCCTCGAAAATTCCATCTGGAAGCATCCGGTCAAGGTCAGCAGGCACTGTACATGTCTTACACTACTTGCTACGGAGTATATCTGTTACTAACACACCTGAAATCCAGAATACTCAATTATTACAAACATACAGTACTTACCAAGAAACTTGATGTTCCTGAGATTTTGAGGTCAAATGACTTGAATTTCAGCACCAAAATCATCAGCTCAAAAAACTGATGTAATATGGTAACAATTTCACTGGATATTAAACAGCAGAACACCTTAACCTATCAATCACTTTTTAACAATTTCACCGGATATTAAAGAGAGGTATATATAATATCGATCTTTATTTTCTCAAGAACTACAATTCAAATACAATCAATATCTTTACATATGTTATTATAGAGAAGAAGATATGAAAGAGTTGATATTGTGAAAACAAATATGAATCCTACTCTCATGAGGGTACGACATATATTCATACTCTAAAACCAATCAAAACCTTCCGTATAAATGAAAAATACCAACCCAGTTTTAGTCCTGCCAAAATAACAAGGCTTCAGCATGTCCTTGCTTCTATAAATTATAAGCGCCGTTAGAGGTGATCAAGCCTAACTCAACCAGCTCGCTCTGATGTCCCGAGCTGAGCCACAACAGGCCGACTTTTTTGGACTAGCCTTGGTCCATCACCACCTGATTTACCTCCATACACTGTCAGCCCCCTCTCCCTGAATCCCAGCTGTTCGTATTAGTGCATGGCGGTCTTTCTTTCATGCTGCTGTACTATATTTGCACTTAGCAAGCTTGCAGCTATTCTTACTTCAATGCTAATGCTACTTCTAAAACACCATTCCACTTTACATTTCCAAGGATTTTCAGAGCCAGAATATCAAATAAGTAACAAAATTTATTCTTGTTCTCTGACACAGCCACCAGGAAGCAGAAACTTGTATTTATCAGTGTTTTCAATAAGATAAGCAGGAAGGTGAACCGCAGAAGCAGAACGAGGAATTGATCCCATCTTCTTGATTAGCTCCTTGAAGCTATACTCTTCAGGTAGCATGTCAAAGAGGTTGTCTCCTTTACAAATGAGTTTCTGAATTCTTCTATGATCTAAAAATTCTTTCTTCTTAACACGATCAGCATGGCTATAAGCTGTCATTTTAAACACAAAATCCTGGAGGTACCTAAAGCAGAAGCTACAATGCCAACCGGCATCTGAAAGAATAATATTTGACATCCGGGAATGCCTGTACTGTGTTAATGGACCGTAGATGTGGGCTGAAGCCCGCCAGCTACTGTAGTCCACTGGGAACTCAAACGAGTACATGTAGTGCTTCAGCTCGAGGTGTAATACAGGTGGGATCTCATCGCACCATTGAAGGAGTTTTATGGTGTGTGGACTAGGAATTTCATCTGCATCTGACATAACAAGGATGTCATCAAACTGAATACCTGCCTGTCGAATTAAGAGATTCATAGCCATCCGATGCTCACTCTCAAGCTTGAAGGGGTTTTTGTGGGACCCTGGGCTTCTACTATGCCCTGGCAAGAAACCATAGGCAATCTGACTCTCGGCAAAGGCAAAACGAGCACGATTTGAAGCAAAGTACAGAGGCTTAGGAATGCCAGTGAAGGTTGTGTTGGATTCTATGATTACAAATTTAGTTACATAGGGCTTGAGCTCGTGCCACCTTATCTCAACCAAGTCTAGCTCATTGCTAAAGATGATAGCATCATATACACTTCGGGGTTCAGAGCGGACTGACCATCCATGAAGGCGACATAGATGATCCATAGAAACATTTTCTGCATAGAAGTGAGGGATACGGGAAAATGGTGGGGGTGGTTTGTCCCAAAGAGGACGGAAAAAGTAGGCGATTTTCTGGCAATGGGTAAAAATTCCAACCAAACAAGTGGATAAAAAGAGGGCAAGGATGAGTATGATGAAAACAAATTTAGGTGAAGATCGCCTAGAAAGGCGTAGAGTTTGAAGGGGCATTATTTACTGAGAGGAAAGCTAAAGGATGAAGCAGGTTCCATAGTTTCTTGCACCTATATTTGTGCCTTTGTGTATCGCTCTCATCTGCATAGAATCCAGCAGAAGATCAGTCCCTAAATTTGATCTATTGGACTCAAAAGAGAATTTTCACACAGCTTTGGCATAAAAAGGGAAAAGAAAACACTCTTACCTCCATTAACAATCTGGTCACTTTCCCATTGCTGGAAGCTATCCAGTCAATCGATCAGAAGCCAATAGTAAGTGCATCACTGATAATGCTTGTTCTCCGATTGTGGCAAACCAAAGATAAAAAATTACACCAAGTGTATGCAGCTCATGTCTGATAACCTATAAAACAGCCATAGTAACTTCATCAACTTCTTACGCTGAGGACATTTTGTAAATAAGCAAATTATGCTGCCAATGCACTGAAGACAGTCTATGATCTATGTTAGCCCTACTCTTCTTTATATATCAGCTCCCTGTTCTGGATGCTCAACACTCACACATGGGTACAAGGAAATTTTTCGTAAAGTAGCCGAATTTGATACCTAGGAACGCACCCAGTCACGAGCCCTCAAGTTCTTGTAACATAGTCTAGGATGCAAAGAAGGTGCTTACAATTTATACCATTATTTCATTAGACTAAGAACTCCTTTGATGGAATAACATTTTCCATTTTTGTCTTCCAGGTAAATAAGGGGAGTGAGGCAAATAATAGAGGACTGCGCCTGGAAAGTGTTTCTGCAGTTTGGAGACAGGCACCAAACTAAAATGGAGCTCTTTCCAAGATACACCAACCAACACATTGGGATATCATAGCTTCCTGAACAAAGTATGCTGGTGTCAGCCACCTTCAAATAATTAACCCTCGAGGCTTTGCTCGTCTAAGGCTATACGCATTAGGATAATAACAGGAATGGCACCAAAGATCCAAATCAAGTGAAACCTCAGGAAATTTAGGTCTCTTGAAGCCTCAATGTAGCATTCAGAGCCAAAAGACTTTTAACGTGTGCAATCACACATGAATTCATTCAGTAAAATTGGGATTAGGACTTTTGAATTTTAGACAATATGTATTATACTCCATATATACAAATCTTTGAGAATTATTCTCTTAAACAGAGTGTTGTCAGCTGCCTGGCTATTCTTCTTGCACTTAATTTGCTTTGTACAGAAGTAGAAGCACCAGCTGATTATTGTGACCTATCTAACAGTAAGTGTTCACCTCCCCTGCCTCTTAAAAGCAAAGGGAATAACTTGCAACAATCAACCAAAGATTCTAAGGCATTAATGCAAATAATCTTGTATCTATTAACTTGTTAGTTGCCATCTATCAGGAGTGCAAACGCGTCTTCTAGGTCATAATGTGGATCCCAATTAAAATAAAAAAAGTAACACCTCCCTCAAAACAACCAAAAACTTTCAGATACCCTCTCCGTGTTTTAATAAGTGTTACACTTTGACCGGCACGTAGTTTTAGGCAATTTAATTGACTTAAATAAAATAAGGAGTAAGTAGGGTAGTGTATTGAAAAATTGTAAAAGAAAGATAGCGGGGTTGATAATTTATTGAAAAGTAATGAATGTGAGAGGAAAGAAATAGTAAAAAAAAAAAAGTAGCAGAGGAATTGGGTGGGGAACTGGGTACCATGAAAGGAGAAATATATAATATTAAAATGTAGCTTTTTACCAAAAAAAGGAAGTGTAACACTTATTAAAACACGGTCGCATTTGATAAGTGTAACACTTATTAAAACACGGAGGGATTACTGTCGTTGTAAATGCTAGATGGTACAACTACTACTCCATAATCACTGAGGAGATTCACATAGTGTGAATTTAATTCTAGTAGTCTAGTCCAGTACATAGTATAAATAGAAAGTTGGAAATTTATAGGTGAGCATATCATTAATGACATATGATGTGCCAAAGAGGGGAAACTCCAAGTTTATAGCTGTGACATCGGGGTCCTAAATAACCCGAAAATTCCCCCCTACTAATCCCCAAGATAAGCTAAACAACCCAAAAATGCCCCTCTACACGCCCCCAAGATACCCTATACGTCCCCAAAATGCCTCTCTACATGCCCCCAAGTTACATTAAACAACCCTAAAATGCCCCCCTACAAATCCCCAAGGTACCCTATACAGCCCGAAATGACTCATACAAGTCCCCAAGATACCCAAAACGACCCGAAAATGACCCATACAAGTCCCCAAGGTACCCTATACAGCCCCAAAATGCCTCATACAATTATCCAAGATACCCAAAACGACCAAAAATGCCCCCTACAAGTCCCCGAGACACCCTCAATGCGCCCGTAACATGCATTTAAGCATACCACATTCATAAACTAGTACCAGCTGCTTTCTTGCTAGGATTTAGACCTACCTGAGAACCTGACATAACTAATCAACCAATTGCCCTGAACTTCGATACAATCTATGACCTAAACCAAACTCAAACTTCCCAAATTTGGAATCCACTTAAAAGTTCAGCAAAAACCTATACATTTCCAATAAAGGTTGCTCATTTCTGAAGCTAGGAATCATCCTTAAACCTTCCTAAATTTTTCAAGTAATCTTAGTAAGTACGGAATAGCTCATACTTTGTTAAAAACAGGAAGAAAAAAACTTTTCTTTCTGAATTTTATTTTTCCTAATTAATGAGCAAATAATACAAATCTTTGATCAAATTTGTACAATTATAAGCTCAGGCAACCCCAAACACAAGAAATAAGCTCAAAGATTCAATCTTTCTAATTCAACCCAGTAACGAGGATAAATTTCAGCAAGATTATGAAATTAATAATTCATCAAGATTAGCATTTATAACATCAAATATTACAAATTCAAGCGGCAAAAAAAAAAATAAAAACCCATAACATTTAAATCCATAATTTTTTAAAATTAAAAGTCAACTTTCTATATTTGAATTACAATATCAATAAATAAATAAATAACATGAAGTTGCATAAATAAAAGAAGATAAATAATTTACCTGGCATAATAAAAAAAATGGGAATAATTAGCTGGAGATTTGCCCAGGTAGAGGAGAAAAGAGGAGAGAGAAAATTGGAGAAGCTTAATAATGGTGAACAAGTCAGATTAATTTCTTGTTTGTTCTTTTCTTCGTCAATCTTCTATCAAAACTAAACCTTAACTATGTTGCACGTTGCACGTGGCACGTTATTAGAAAATGAATTCTTTCATGGTACGAATTATGTTCGAATATGCTTATTTGTAGATTATTAAGCTTAATTTAGGGTGCTAATTTTTTGTTCATCTCAATGTTGGTATAAGAATAAAATGATTAATGCTAATAAAAGTAATACTATGTTTGCTTATATTTACATTATGTTACGGTTTTATAAGATTTACTCTACATTTCCTCGTATAATTTATTGTGATATGTAAGTATAGAGTCATCTAATAGCTACACTATTATTGTTGAGTATTGGTTTTTCATATTGTAACGAGCTTAAATATATGTGTAATTGATCCATCTAAACAAATGCATTGACACATGTATAGTTAGTTATAAGATTCCTGAGAGTGAGGAATAGCTCAATTGATTAGAGCTTCCCTCCCGATTCCAGGAGATTTTGGGATTGATTCTCACCCCCTACCCTTGTGGCTCTCAAAAAAAAAAAAAAAAAAAAAAAAAAAAAAAAAAAAAGAGTTGAAATTGTTTGACACTAATTTATATTTGAAATATAATCACCACTAAATTAGTATTTGTGTTCAGGGACAGCATGAGCCTGATCTGGCCCAACAAGTACATCAGCCCATTAATGTAAAGCAGTCCAAGAAGCCCACAGCCTAGCTCAATCAATTTATGGCCCTTTGGAAGTTGTGAGACTTGTGCCTAGTCCACAACAAGCAAACAATATTTATTTGTTTTTACAAAAAGACATACGAAGTAACAAGTAAATGATACTACTTTGTATTAACGGATTTTATTTTTTTTTTATTTTTTTTTGAGGAAATGTATTAATGACATTTGATTTCAAGTCATGTTCCTCAAAAAAAAAAAAAAATTAAAAAAATATTCAAGTCATGTCACTCATAGGGGTGTACAAAAATTGGCCCGGACCTGAAACCGGACCTGAACCGACCTGAACCGGATCGGACCTGACCCGGACCTGTTGATTCAGGTCCGGTCCCGGTTCTTAAAAATCCAGGTTCCCGGTCCCGGTCCGGACCCGGTCCAAACCCGGGGTTTTCAGGTCCGGACCTGAAACCCGGGAAAATCGTAATTAAAAAAAAAAAAAGAAAAAAAAAGAAGAAAACCAAACTCTGAAAAATTGAAACTGAGTTTTCGTGGACTTATTTGTATTTTCGGTGGACTCATTTGTATTTTTGGTGTTTGAGAATCGGGACTTTATAGACTTTATGTAGTTTTGTAATTGATAATTTTGGTTTGTATGTAATTATTAAATTATGCAACAGGTCTAAAAATCACAAAACAGGTCCATATGCAGGTCCATATGCAGGTCCAACAGGTTTTGTATTAAAAAAAAACGAAAAAGACACAAAACAGGTCCATTCAGGTCCAAAGCCGGACCGGACCTGATTCAGGTCCGGTCCCCGGTCCTCATAATTACCCAATTCAGGTCCCCGGTCCAAACAGGTCCGGTCCAGGTCCTGTCCGGTTTTGGACCGGTGTACACCGCTAGTCACTCATGTATGTCATTGTGTCACCTCATAAATATTGTTGACGTTCATAGAAATTGAACATATTTTTTGTTATAACAAAGTAGAGTTGTAATATTAGAGAAGACAAGATTAAAGGTCCATTTTGAAAATCCTAAAAAGACGCTACGTAATTTAAAGTTTCGTTAATGGATGAGAGCCCCTCCAATGCAAAATCGAAAACTCAACAAAATTATAAGCATTGACAATTAATTAGAGTTAAACACGTAATCTCAAGATAATTACTAGTACTGTATTAATTCCTTGAGTACTATGTTAAACATTACTCGATTACCAATTGAAAAAAGTGAGTTTTTTTTTACTGCCACAAAATTCAAGCCTCCAATGCTGAAGAAAGCTTGATCTCATCAACATAGAACTTGTTCCTCACCAACTGACAAGAGTTAGTTCATCTTTCTCATCAACATATAATTTGATATCGTCAACATAAAGTTTGAGTTTTTGTTTAAATTTGAGTTGAAATATCATATCCATCCTTCTCTCTACGAAACTTTTAACATCATATCATGTCACGAATTAGTTGGACAAGTTGAAAGACTAATACAATGTACACATTAGGTTTAAACTTTAAATTTAGAATATAAACATTTGCGGAGTAATAATGTTTAGAACAACCAAACATAGGCATTTGAAGTCTAATTAAAGGTTGTTTCTCGTTTTCAGAGTAACTTATAAGACTTGTTTGTTTTGATTTAACCTAGTGTTTACACTTTTTTTTTTAAGACACCTAGTGTTTACACTTGATTGAGCTTCATTTTTATTTATTTTTTATAAAATGAAGAGAATGTACCCTTATTGAGAAGAAAAAAAAAAATCAACCAATATTGTCCAATTATGTGATGTTTCAAGTTCAGCCAGCTTTATGGCGGCCCAATATTGAATAGCAAATACATAAGACCAACGTATTCACATTAAAATCATGCCTCCTACAACTACAATTTTTTGGGTGTTTTACAACTACAAATTTAGTCATGGCGACTAATTGATAAATAAATGAATTCATTGATCATAAAATTATACAGTAATTATTTATAACTTGATTTTAGGAAAATAGTAGGTAGTCTCAAACTCTCAATAATACTACTAAGCAAAATTATGATGCTAATTCGAGTGATTACATTTACACCCAAAAAGACAAAAGATAACATTAAGTTGTTTAACTATATTACAATGCAATCGCTTAGAGTAAGATAACAACCACATTATGAAGTTCAAAATTACTCCAAACAATTGCTTGAGTAAACCACTAATTACTCTATATATATCACCATGATGATGTTCTTCTACTAAGATCATTCATCCCCTCTCCTTAGCTTGAGTCGTTGGACTGATTCAATGAACGTCCTGTAGAATAAAATAAATTTTAATTTATAACTCATTGCTCTAACAACGCGACAAATCCACAAGATTAAGGAATTTAAACTTTCACATAATCCATTTTCACACACAAAAAAGGCACTTAATGTCCCTAAAATACCCAAGTACTTTTACATGAGATGGTAAATTAAGGGAGAATAGGACAGTACATAGTAATTATTTCGCTACACAAAGTTACTACAATTCGTATCTATAGATTCACCATTGTTGTACGCATAAGTCGTGTAAATAAATTAAAAGACCAGTGATATTAGTATATGTAATTTACTTGTTTAAGAGATTACAAAAACAATGTAAAAGATGTACAATATGAGATTATAGTAATCATTGATATGAGGATTATGTCCATGAACTAACCAACCAAACTCAATCATACCTAGGCTCTTTGATAGGGTGCAATGAACAGATACAATGCATAGACATATCAGGATTATTCATTCATTCTCTTTTCTAATTTTAGCAATCTTATTAAAATAGAGCGATCATTCATGCGATTTTATTATATTTTATTTTTTATTAATCATTTATCCTGACATACATCTTAGCTTAACTATTATGATTGTACATGTACATTTTTTATTCGTTTTCCGTTTATGATTATCACATGTATTTCTCTTAGTTGAGATTATACTATTAATGTGATCATTACTCTTGTTATAAAATCAAGTGATCAATCAATTAAAAAAGGGTTTAGAAAAAATATACCTCCATGGCACATCTCCTGCAAGAAGCCAATAACCATCCCCATCTTGGTAAGTAAGCTTGTAATTATCCATATTATCCTGCCCTGAATTAGAAAAAGAAAAAAAAAATAAAGACAAATTAATAAATTAATCCAACAACTTTCTTAATTAAAATTATTTATTAGGTACACTAGATAAAAACATGTGAAAAAATTGTTTTCTAAAAACAATATTTTTTTACCTTTGCCAAACATAGTAAGCAAGCTACAAATGAGAGCATCATAAGAGTGGTAAAGCTTCAAATCAATCTTCCTTGTAATGAAAAACCCTTCCATTTGCACCTTAACAAACATCGACCGTGATCCGCCACAACCACCACCTCTTCCACCGTTCTCTATCGCCGGAATATTCCCTCCATGGCGGTGTTGTTCGAGGTGAGCACTCTTTCTGTAAGCCTTAATTGGTGGCCACCCCACAATGCAATCACCTTCATTTCTACAAAAAATATCCAATACCCATTCGTCAAAATACCATAAAATTTGTTCTATTATCAATACTTAGACCAAAATTCCCTATACCTACACCTAAAAATGTCACAAATTTAGCATTAAACTCAATATTGTATTGTTTAACTAATAGTCGATTCAACTGACTGTCAGACAGTTTGATACAAAAATTTACGCAAACCAAAAAACTTTTTGACAAAAATATCCAAATCCCACATGTAAAAATTCACATACAAAAATATATATATATATATAAATAAAAAAATAAAAAAAAAAGGTGTACTTACTTGTTAATGGTGAAAGAAGTGGAATTGCATAGCCTTTTAGGTAGTTGATGATCATCCTCATTAGGGTGTTTATCCCAAAGCAAAAGAGGCAAAGTTTCAGGCATTGAAACAACTAAACTTTCCACTTCATTAACTTCTCCAAACCCTCTTTTTTTCTTCATTATTTGGAAAAACCCATCATTAATTTCCTCTTCTTTTTCTTCTTCTTCTTCACCATAATTATCATCATTAACACTACTTTGGCAAGACAAAGAACTTGAATTAGAATTATCCTCTTCATAAACATGCTTACTCTTGCAATTAACATAGCTAATTAAATCCAATTCTTTCAAAATTGGGATTTTTGGAGGAGCATTTGACAAAGCAAGACCTAATTCAAGCTCCATTTTTTGTGATTATTCCACTAATCAAAGATAAACCCAGATGTTAAAATTGCTCAAATTTGTCAAAGATCTAATCTTTTCACCTTTTTTCAATCCAATTTACCAACTTTGGGATTGTACTCTATTTGGGTTACTCTGTTTTTATGTGGGTGTTTATATATAAAGGAATTGGAGGAGAGAGAGAATATAGCTGACAAAGTGAAATTAAAATTGAAGTGTGGGGACATATTTGAGAAAAATGCCAATAAATAAATAAATAAATAAATTATAAAAAAAAGGAAGAAAAAAAAAAAGAAAAAGAGGCAAACAGTTGTTCCAAAGTGTCTGAATCAATGTTAGGCTTTTGGCCGACCCACTTACTAAGCTTGTTCCCTAAACACATCGTTTTGGTGCCGACATTGTCGCTTTCTTCATTAAATTTTGCGCTTTTTCCTTCTCCTTGTTTTACCTTTTAAACGTCAAACACTTTCAATATTAGTGCGTGTGGCTTACAAGCTTTAGTCTTTATATAGTAAATGAGAATTTTCTTTTTATTTTTTTGGGCAATTATGCTATGTAATGTGTGGGCAAAGATGAGGAAAAAAGCTTGAATGGGTTACATCCATGGTCCTTACATTGAATTATGGAATTTTTTTTGTCAAAGTTGAAGAAAAAGAATGCCTTCGTGCAATGCATTTTATTTCGTATGATAAGTTTCGTGTCTTGTAAGTTCCGTGATTGTCGATACAGATGGACCATTAGGCGAATTTGGTGTTTTAGAAATAGTGTAACACATATATTTTAGAAACATTCTTTACGTATCACTTTAGTTCTATAATGGCAATTTTTTTTTGTTTTGGGTGATGTAAGTATCTATCAGCATAATTTGAAAATGAAAAATTAAAGCGTTTAATACGACAAATTTCTGCATATTAGTGGTAGCAAAAATTTATTGCTTATTCATCTAATATCTACACACAACTAGGGGTGTACAAAAACTGGACCGGACCTGAAACCGGACCTGAACCGACCTGATCCGGACCGGACCTGACCCGGACCTGTTGATTCAGGTCCGGTCCCGGTCCTTAAAAATCAAGGTTCCCGGTTCCGGTCCGGACCCGGTCTAAACCCGGGGTTTTCAGGTCCGGACCTGAAACCCGGAAAAATTGTATTTTTTTTAAAAAAAATCAAAAATCAAAATAACGCTGCTGCTTGAGTGACGCTTGAATTCTCTTTCATTTCATTCTAACCCTAACAAACAGGCTGTCTCCCCCTCTCCCTCACGCAGTCACGCTCACTGTCTCCAGTCTCAGCCCAACGCGGCAACGCCCACCGCCGACACCTCCTGCCTTCCTCACTCTCTCAGGCGAAGCCCAGGCGCCCACCGACCACCGCATGAGACAGCTACTGCGCGATTTTCCATTTCTCCGGTAAGTTATTTTTTTTTTTAATGTAAATCTAAATTATCTAATTATGTTTGGGTATTTTGTATTCGAAATAATGAATTAAGTGTTAGAATTTATATGTTTATTCATGTTTCAATTGCTTATAATGATTATTTGATGTTTGCATGTTGAATTTCTTTTTTTTACTTCAATGTTTTCGAATTTATGTTTTTTCTTTTTTGGTTTATTTTCGAATTTCTTTCGAATTTATGTTTTTTTTTTTTGGTTTTTTTTAGTTTAAAGTTTAGGGTTTTAGGGTTTAATGTTTAGAATTGATAACAAGTATGGTTTATCTTCGAATTTATGTTTTTTTTTTTTGGTTTTTTTTAGTTTAAAGTTTAGGGTTTTAGGGTTTAATAAAATCAGAAGAGCAGAGAAAGTAGTGATTAGATTGTAAACATCTAGTAGTCTAGTGTTTATCTAGTACTTTGCATTGACCTTTGGCATGGCTTCAAATTGAATAGTTGATTTTATGCATTCGGATGCATAAATTCTATGTTATTACTCATTATATAAGCGTTGTTGCATAAACTTATCATTGCAGAAAAATGCCCAACTCTGCTATCAGAAAGTGTGCTCGTGTGCAGTTGATTAAGAATGGAAAAAAGATTGCTGCTTTCGTGCCCAATGATGGTTGTTTGAACTTCATTGAGGAAAATGTAAGTCCGTTCTATTAATGTCTGCAAGCATATATGCACTTACTGTTTCATAAATTGCTTGGTTGTGAATTTGCTGGTATTTTGTGCCTTTCGACACAAACTTAGTGATACACTAGCAGTTTGTTAACTATCATTTGTTAACCGTGTTAGAAATAATGTTGTTTGTTAAAGTTTAAACAACTCCAATTATTTGTTAACCTTTGTAGAAACTCTTAAAGTCTAAACAACTCCAGTTATTTGTTAACCATTGTAGAAATAATGTCAATTCTGTTGTGGATTTTTTGGAGAAATACTGGCATCTGATTACTGAAGGTTTAACATTAGTAACAATGCTTTTCTTATACTCATATCATAAACTCTTGATAACAGTTTATCCAGAAACATATAAAACATGATAGTGCGCACTCTTTCTGTGCTGGTTTATCTGATTCTTCTGTCAGTACTCCTGCACCCACTCCTGTTCAGTACATGTGCAGCTTTATTTTTGTGGTTTAAGACTATCATAACAGTATTGCGGTGGAGAGTATATAGCTTGAGCAATTAAGATCAGTCATACACTGTTGGTTTTTTATCCTTTCATGAGCAAATCATCTGGAAAAAGCTGTTCTAAGATAATGCTAATTCATACTTCTTATCAAAGAACGATAAACTGTTCCCTTTTACTAAAGAAGTTACCTGATTGGTAAAAGAAGTCAAGGTCTTCTGTTATATGTATGTAGTTTAATGTTGTGTTTGGGTGTAGATTCATGCTGAAAATGTGGATCATGCAGAAGTTTGTGGAATTTTGTCTAATATTTGTTACCTGATTATATTGTATTTGACTTTGAAATTGATATTATCTAGCTCTGTTTTTCCTTCCATACTAAGAAAATGTAGTTTGTGCAGGATGAGGTGTTGATTGCTGGATTTGGTCGTAAAGGACATGCTGTGGGAGATATTCCTGGAGTCCGATTTAAGGTTGTCAAGGTTGCTGGTGTCTCTCTTCTAGCTCTGTTCAAGGAAAAGAAGGAAAAACCCAGGTCCTAGGTTAAGGTTGTTGGTTTTGTCTTAAATTTTGCCTACTCAAATGAAACTTGTACCGTCTTGAAATGAATACTGAGCATCCTTAAAAAGAGACACCCTCCCTACTTTGTTTTGTGCTCTATCCATGTCTATTCAAGATGATTTTCTATACTCTTAGTTATTTGCTTATATTTCCAATTGGTTTATTTACTTCTCTTAACGATGTCATGAAAATTTCCGGAATTTATGTTAACAAGATCAGCTTTTTAATGATCTTGCATTTAAAAAAAAAAAGGTCTTTGGATCTCCTAAAAACTGCTTTAAAACACAACAATTAACCATTCATTCATTCTCAAAGATGATGCTTAACTAGGCATTTGTATTCAGGTATGCTTCATGGAGTGTTATGAAAGCAACTGCACTTATATTATTAATATATATTAGCTCACTTGATTGAATTTTTTGGTGAACATTTCTTGCAGAATATTCCTCAGAAGTTCATGGAGTGTTTCAAGGAGAAACTCTCCCCGTGGTGTACACTTATAGCGCCAAGTAAACACAAATGGAAAATCAGACTCTCGAGTACATATGATGAAAGGCCATTGGTGTTTACAGATGGATGGAAACAGTTTGTTCGTGACAATGGAGTGGAAACAAAAGTACTTCATATCGAATAGGCGGGATCTTAAACCTGGAGAAAAGAAAAGGGCTTCCAAGATGGCAGAGTGTTATAGGCGCAGCATGAAGGATAATAAGAGAGTGTTTCCTGTGTTTCAGATAGCCAAAAGTACTTCATATCGAATTTATGTTTTTTTTTTGGTATTTTTGGTGTTTGAGAATTGGGACTTTATACTTTTATAGACTTTATGTAGTTTTGTACTTTTGTGAATACACAACTACTCCTGAAGAAAGAACCTCCAAAGGAAGATAATGCTATATATGTGAGTTCCTTCAATACATTTATTAATAAAAACTTTAATTTGAGGTACATGGGGTTGTTGCAAAATTCTACATCAATGACCCTAATTTTAGGTAATCCTACTTTGAATGCCTTAGATTCATACAACATTTATTTTCACTTGGTATTTGTTTTGTTTGATTTTACTACTTACGTGAACGGATGAACATCGTACAGTGGGTCTACAACGCTATTTTTTATTTTAATTTTTGTAAAAGTAGTTTCAATTCAATGGTTCATGTTTGTCCAAATTGATCCAAACATATAAACACAATTGAATTACTTACTACTCCATATTGATTAATAATCATGCATCACATGTCACACCCATACTGCTGTACATAAAGAATTTGATCACACTATTGGTTGAGTAAGATCGAAAATTGCCAAAAAATGTGATCGACACAGTATAATGAAGATCATTGAACTTGACTAAGGTATTATATATTCACCTATTAAACAATCAAACATAAAAGTGAATTCGTTCTACATATACATATCGAAAATGAAACCACATTAGCTTTGAGAATATCCAAAATAAAAAGGCCATAGTATGAGGTATTATAAATTTGTTACCCTTATATCTATTCATACATGCACTAGATCACAAGTTGATGACTTGATGGAGATATACAATTATATAAGTATAATCACATATTGGTTTAATTGAAACTTGAAAGTTTTGTAATTAAGCTACAAAATCACTCACCTTATTACATTTATACAAGTATAATCATTAAAAAAAATATAATAATAATAATAATAATAATAATAATAATAATAATAAATAATATTCAAAATTCTCCCTAAATAGGGGCGATAAGGGGGCTGCTTCAACGGCCATTCACCGTCTCTTTTCCGGCGGCTTTTGCGGCATTTCTCTTCGGCGACGGCGAGGTGTTGGCGACTTTCAGGCGAGGCGGCTTCCACGACTCATTTCCGGCAGTTTCGGGCTTCTTTTCGTGCTATTTCGGGCTTCTTTTCGTGCAATTTCGGACTTGTTTTCATCGGTTTACCAGGTTTGATCTTGGGTTAGCGTTTAAAGGGTGGTTTTGGGCGACTTTCAGGCGACGTTATCGCGAAATTCAGGCGAATTTTCAGGGTAATTTGGTGCATAATTCAGGGCAAAATTGCAGCCGGTGTTGGCAGGTTTTTGTGGCAGGTGTTCGCAAGTTTAAGGGGTTGTTTCAGGCGGTTTAAGGGGTGGTTTCAGGCTGTTTGCAGCGGGTTTTTGTAGAGCAGGTTTTTGGGCTGTTTGAGGGGTGGTTTGGGCTGTTCGCAGGAGTTCGGCCGGCGGTTTACGGGGTGGTACTGGCGGAAGTTTCTAGTTTCAGGTGGTTTCAGGCGAGATTGGTGCTTAGTTGCGGAGTTGCTGGGCTAAGGTTCATTTTTGGTTCGTTTTTGGGCAAGTTTTTCTGGTTTTTGGCAAGGGTTATTCTGGTTTTGTGTGGTTGCAGCATGTGGTTTGCATGTGTGTAGCTATGTCGGCTGTTCGGGTGAAGTTTCATTGCCCCTTTGTGGGTCTTAGTGGTTGTCAAGATGGAAGTGGCAACGGTCTTACTAAAAGTTCTCTTATCAAGCATCTTTATGATCGTCATTTTTGTATTGGTGCGCGGGATATCACACGACATTCTATTTCTTCTAATTTGGCCGTTTATACTGAGGCTGAAGTTACTTTTTCGCGTATGGGGATTTGGTTATGTGGGGTTTGCTACAAAACGCATACGCATCATGCTAAGTGTCGTCATAATCCGAGTGAGATTGTGTCACCCCCGGATGCAGGGGATGGTATTGTTCGTTTTGTGCTTCATGGTTTCTCCAAGCCGCAATCTGCCTCTTCTTCGGCTCAGCTTGGGCGCATAGGTGGTTTGGTGCATGATCAGCCTTGTGGTTTTGATGTGGCTCTCCTTGACTGTTTGTTCTCCAAGGGGTTTCGGACTGTAAAATCTATACCTCCCAAGTGTCGTCTGGGGTTTTTCGGGTTCTGAAAGGTGCCCTTGATAAGGTGATTTCTAGGCCTGATGACATATCTAGTTGGGTTTCTTTGTTGGTGTTACCTTTATGCACCCTTAAAACCTTTCGCCCGCGGAGTAGCTCCGAGTGTAGGTCTTCGGTAAAACGTCGGCTTCAAGAGGAGAGTATTTCCCGTGCTATTTGTTCTTGGAGTGCACCAGGTGGTAATTTGCAGCTTGTGAGGGATATTTTGGCAGAGGATTCTCCTTCTTTTTCAGTGGTTGGTGATGAGGGCCTTGATTTGGAGGAGCGTAATATCAAGCAATGTCGTAGGAAGATTTGTGACGGCCATTACACTGCTGCAGTTCGGGTTCTTTCTTCTTCAGGCGTTGCTCCTTATAATGATGATACTCTCGCGGATTTACAGTCTAAACACCCTACTTCTCCAGCTCCATCCTTGCCTGATATACCTGTTGATGGTCTTCATCTCGTTACTACTTCTGATGTTGTTTTGAATCGGATTAAGAGTTTTCCACGTGGCTCATCATGTGGTAGGGACGGTTTACGTGCTCAGCACCTTATGGATTGCTTGAGTGGTGCTGCTGTGGCTGTATCGGATGAGTTAGTTGACTCTATTTCTGGGGTGGTTAATCTCTTTCTCGCTGGTAAGTGTCCTATGGAGCTAGGAGGGTATATTGCTAGTGCTCCTCTTACACCACTTGTCAAGCCTGGTGGTGGTATTCGTCCTATAGCTGTGGGTACTGTTTGGCGGCGTCTGGTTTTGAAGGTCGGTGTTGTTATGGTTGGTCTGTCTTTAGGAAGCTACTTTGATGGTCTCCAATTTGGTGTTGGAGTTTCTTCGGGAGGTGAGGCGATTCTTCATGCTGTGAATCGGTTGATTGAGGATCGTGGTTCCATTGTGGGTCTTTCTATGTTATTGGTGGATTTTCAAAATGCCTTCAATCTAGTTGATCGTGCAGTCATGTTACGGGAGGTTCGTCGTCGTTGTCCGGGCCTTTCGCGCTGGGTAGAGTTCTGCTACTCTAATCCAGCTAGATTGTATTACGGGGACCACACCTTATGGTCGTCTCAGGGAGTGCAACAGGGTGATCCCCTTGGTCCCTTGCTATTTGCTTTGGTTTTACAGCCCCTAGTGTGTAAGATCAGAGACACTTTTGATGTCTGTCTTCAGGCCTGGTATTTGGATGACGGTACTGTGGTTGGTGACATGTTGGTGGTAGGGAAGGTTCTGCAATTGATTATGGAGGACGGGCCTCGTTTTGGGTTACATCTTAACGTGGAAAAAACTGAAGTTTTCTGGCCTGCAGAAGACCCTCGAAGCAGGCTTGTGGGTGTCTTTCCGCCTAATATTGCTCGACCCTTGCGTGGTGTTTAGCTGCTTGGTGGTCCCGTTAGTTCCGATTCCGGTTTTGGAGGTGAGCTTGTGATGCAGAGGGTGACAAAGACCATTGCACTTATGGATAGGGTTGTTAAGCTAGATGATCCTCAGTGCGAGCTGTTGTTGCTTAGGGCTTGTACCGGAGTTTCTAAGCTATACTTTGCATTGCGTACTTGTCCTCCTAGTACCTTTGAGACGGCTCAGCGCACATTCGATGGGGCACTTAGATCCTCATTGGAGCGTATTGTTACTGCTTCAGGGCCTGGGTTTGGCGATTGGCAGTGGCGGCTTGCCACCTTGCCTTTTGCTTATGGCGGTCTTGGTGTTTATTCCGCAGGTGATGTTCGACATTATGCTTTTCTTGCTTCCCGGTTACAGTCTGCTGGGTTGCAGACACAGCTATTACGACATGCTGGTGTTGTTGGTCTTGGACGAGCCTTTGGAGATGCGTTGAGTTTGTTTAATGGAATAGTGGAGTCTGACATTATGAGTAATCCTAGTGAGGTCTCTGCCCCTAAACTCATGAAGAAATTGGCAGATATGTATTTCACAAAGGTTACCGCTTCTGCAGAAGCCGCTTATTCTTTGACTCCTCGGCAATCAGCATTGTGGAAATCGCAACAGGGAGATCACACCTCTGCTTGGCTTCGGGCAGTCCCTATTTCTGGGTTGGGTCAGACGATGAACTCAAAGACCTACCGATGTGTGTTGTGCTATAGGATGGGTGTTGCATTGTTCTTTATCTCGACACCATGCTCTGCTTGTTCTCGGGTTTTTCCTGGGGATATTTTCGGTGATCACGCGGTGTCGTGTGCTGGTCTTGTCGGTATTAAACATCGGCATAATATTGTCCGGGATACCCTCTGCTGCTGATGTGTTACTTTATTCTTGGGATCGTTGTCGCGATGTTTGTGTGGACTTAACAGGGTCTTCTCCATTGACACAGACAGGGCTTTCTGACTTTGTTCCTGGACGGGTTGTGGCTGATGCGGCTCATCGAAAGCGGATGATGTATGAAGCTAGTTGTCGGCTGATGGGGTATGGTTTCATTCCCTTCTCCTTTTCTTCGCTTGGGGAATTGGAGAAGGAGGTTGTCGTGTTGCTGAAGCGGGTTCAGTGGTTCTCGACGACGCAAGACATTGGGGCTCGTGCTGCAGCTTATATCTTCACTAGGGTAGACTTTTCTATAGCTAGAGGAGTGGGGGCCCAAATTGTATCTCGACTTCCCACTAATTTGTTGTAGGTTGTATGACTTTATCTGTTTTTGAGATGATAATAA